TAAGGAGTATAAATATATAAATTTTATTTGCTTTTTCTTATAAAAAATTTTAATTTGCTCTAATGGAGACGAAATAGGTCTTTTTTGAAAATCAATTTTGGTGGCATCTATAGACCTGGTTGCTCAGTTTTCTGATTTTGGGCCCCAGTTTGAATTCAGCCCTCCTGTACTACCATCAAAGATTACTGTTACCTCCAAATTTGAGATTTCTTAAATAGGTTTTTGGTTATATTGGTTTCTTAGATTTATTGCACCAAAGCTCCTATTACTAAATAATATGACTGAAATTATAGATTTAGTTCTAGATCCAACCGATAAATATAGCCATTAACCAAACAAGCCTATTTTTTAAATATCGTCATTTGTGAAATTTGAACTCTAGGCCTGCTATTTGGAGAAGGTTATGACTAGACCACTATACTAAGTCACCACACCTCTAAAAATAGCTTTATTTTATTATAAAAAATATATTTTAATATAAAATTTTAATTAATTCTTTATATAATTATATTTTAAAACTTTGTAAACACATGCATCCAATATTCATCTTAGGTAAGACAGAAGGTTTGGGCTGAAAGCTTACTAATAATAGATAAAGTATAGTAGTAGTGCTGAATATAAATATACTATAGTTTCATAATATATTGGTTATAGGCTGGTTATATTAAATTTATTACTGTAAATACAATTTGTAATAGAGATTCTTGTGATCTTTAGCATCTAAAATGTCAATAAACTATAGTCTCCAAACACTTAATACAAAAAAAATATTTTAAAACTTTTTTTTATAAATTTAATAATAATTTGTTTTTGAGTACAGAATATAATAAAAGATGTTTTTATATAATATAATTAGAAATAATAATATAGAAATACAGTATAACTACTATATGTAACTATTTATTTATTGTGTAAATACAATACAGCAATTGTAATGTTAATAAATTTGACGATAGATAATAAAATAATACAATATTTATAAAAGAAATTTCTATTTTAAAAAAAAGTATAAATCTATAATTTGAATTTTGGTTTAGCTATTTGTATATATAAAAAAAAGGTAAGAATAAATAAATAAGTAAACGAATAAAATTATACACAATAGCATTATAATAAAATAATAATAATAATAATAATAATAATAAACTACTGTAATATTCAAGAATTAAATGTTTAATGCCAAGGAAAATCAGATACTGTTAATTATATATAATTTAACCTAAATGAAATAATAACCATTATGCACAGAAATTTTTTAGTAGTACATTCTTTCTTTTTCAAAAATTTTATTTCATTATCTACCAGAGATAGAAGAATTATAAATCATAAGAACTAATTTGATGATGATTCATTGTATTTGTTAAGTTCAGAGGATTTTCTTTTTTTATTATAGTTTGGCTTCGATGGAACCATAAAAGATTTTAAAGATTTTAAATATTCGGTAGGAGAACGTTTTGTAGATTTTTTATTTTTCTAATAAATAAAAAATAAAAAGAAATAAATTAAAGTTAGAATAAATAGACGGGATAAAAATTAACGAAAGTTTACAAAAGAAAAAGAAAGCATTTTTTTTTATACCTTTTTATTATCATGATACGGATCACGATCACGTTTTTTTTTATAAAATCTATCTTCATTCGACACGACAAAAGTAACATCATCATAACTTTTTTTAAAAAATGAAGAACGATCAACAATTTTATATCTTAGATTATCTTCTAAAGAAAACCAACTTGCGGTAATGATGTTATCACTTTCATCTATTAAAGAAAACTCATCAACATTAAAAGCTTTTGCAATTTCTTGTTTGATATCATCTTTAGAATCAGTTTGAAAAAATCTAAATTTTATATAGGAATTCGAAGAAATTTGAGACTGGCAGTCTTGTTTATCGTCTATACTATGATGCGGATAAGTAAGAGAAAGTTTGATCGAAACACTTTTTGAAGAAGAATTTGTTAAAGATGAGATATTTAAAGAATTTTGATGAAATGAAGAAGAGATTTGATTGTTTGAAGGTATTTGCGGTAGTGAAGACATTTTTTTTTAGTTTACGTGACAAGAAACAAGATTGAATAGCTCGTGTCGTAATAATTGTAATAGTTACAATATTTGTAATAATAGTTGTAATAATTATATAAACGAACTTAAAGTATAAAAATAAATGAGATCGATAATTAGTTCAATGGTATCGGAAAGATTACAAAAAAATCAGGGCCGAAGATAAAATGGCATAGATTATTTATATTTCAAGATCGCATAACAGAATTATAAATTATTATTGTTGAGCTAAATAAGAAGTTATTAACTATGGATAATTTCAATGGGAGTTTTTAATCCGACGCGAAATTAACAAGCAACTTTAGCATAATATCTTGAAAATCATTTTAATATGCATAATAACCTTAATTCGAGTTTATGCATATATGATACATAAAAAAAAATATAGGTAAGTGAAATTTAGGAAAATATTCATTGTCCGATTTATTTTTCATAAAATTCGGTTGCACACTTGTCTTAGAAATGACAAAATAGTATTAAATATTAATAATATCATTTCACTTATTTGTTGTTTAAAGGAAGTTTTTTCCTTTTTTCAACAAAGTACATGATCGGTACTGGAGTTATAGTCGACAAAACGTTGTAAACATTTATTTCACGCTAAAATTAAAAATAATAATAAACGAGTTTTGAAGCGGGATAATAAATTAGATTAAGGGTATTTGAATTCTTTAATTTTTTATCCCGTCTAGTGGTGCAGGCGAATCGACCCAATGAAACCGCAACTTTTGCTGTAACAGATAACTTTCTAATCCCGACATTATTTTTTTTTTTTGATAATTCACACAGTAATACTTAATGTTATTGTGAATTTATCTGTTCGACTGGGCATTTACGAACACCTAAATATAATAAAAGATCAGAATATCTATTTTATTAATATTCATTAAATTACAAAATGTCTATACAACCTGCTTGTTTTATCAGTGTTGGACGATTATGTCATATAAATGATATGACTTATATGATTTGTCATATTATATCATATGAAGTGTCATATAACTTGATCTATATTATATATAGCATATAATAGCATATAATTCGATTCTATATCGTATGAATATCACATGACATTATGATATTTGTCATCGCCCAACACTGTGTTTTAGTATAAGCCTGTTAAGTCAATTAAGTAAAACATAGCGATAATTTTAATAAGAATTTGTGGGAATTTCCTACGTACTGTACGTACATACGAAATATCTCTACAAACCGATCACTCGGAAATCAGAACCGTGTCAGAGTTTTGATTGACCCTTATTATTATTAGTTGTAACCGATGCGATATGTCTATTCCTATTTTAGACTATCACGATACCTGAAATTTCCCAATTTTGGTATCTTCCGGCCGAGCCACAAGATATTTACGCAAATAATGCAATATATATATATATATATATATCTATATAATACATAAAAAAAAAACTATCAAAAATTTTTTTGTTATGTATTTTCGATAACATAACGAATAATGATAACATTGATGAATTATTATTCTTCTAATAATTATTCTAATTAAGAAATTCTTTACTTCTAAATTCGGTTTTGTAAAGTGCACATATGATTCCATAATATTCTATTCTATCTTTGTTCCTAAAATCAGTTTTATTGCATATATTTTATGAATTATGAACTACGCATACACAATAGCAATTTAATACCCGAATCAACAAATAAATTTCCTTGATTGATTGCATTGTGGTATAAATACATATAAGTATTTATTTTAGAGTATTTCTATTTGTACACAGTGTATGTCCACGGGCATAAAAAAAACCAATTAATATTTCAAATTTATTTTATTTGGTTAAAAATTTTTTTTTCTTTTTCACAAAGCACTTGATCGTTACAGTCATATATAGGCAGTATTCAAAAAAAAAATAAATTACATGAGAATGTACACTTTAAGTTTGTTTATTTTATGCTGAAAACCTAATTAAGTGAACAAATAATTTATTTTCTAATTTATTATTCCGTCATCTAAAAATTTTTCATTTTTTTGATATCCTTTTCTGTAAAAATGAAATATACGCACCGAAATTCTGATCTATTGGTCTGCATTAATAAAGTTTCTTCCAAGACTAAGCTATAACTAATCGCGACGTAACAATCTTCCACATCTTGATATAATCAATAAACCCATTTATATTATTATCGCTATAAAAAAAACGATATAAAAATTAGATACCGATATATCATTTCAGACAATTTTTCCTTTTGTCTTATCTAAATCTCAAACATGCAATTGGTAGATAGATATATTGTCTTGAAAGAATGTGACCATCTATGAATTGCTCCCTTAAAATTTTGTGCTGTTCTGCGCAGATTTGCAAAAAAATTAAGTAATGAAAATCTGTGCAAAACTTCAGACTCACCAGCTATAGCTACAGAAATTAAATACAGTTCTGCGCAAAATTTCAAGATATAAAAACTTTGCTGTTTTTTTGCAAAAAATTCTGCAAAAATCTGCATTTTCGTAGGTTTTTGCAGATTTGCACTTATTTAATTCTCCCGATGATATAGCATATACAGTATATACAGTATGGTACGGTAGTGCAGACTTTTGAAAAAGAAATTTAATCTCACTACATTCAGATGTACGTACGTACGTACGTACGCACGATCATGTCTGATATAGAAAATGCACGAACACGTACGTACGTACGTACGAATTCTGTAAATTTCATCCGTTATAGGAAATCGGCAGTATTATTTCGGGCCAATAATAAGCTAAGCTACTGCTACGCTTCGAATTCTCCCCGATAGAAATACGTTATTTAACTGCGGATCCGAATTAGCTCAAAAGAGCGGGTCAGATGGTCTACGCAACAGACGCAGCGCAGTGCGCATAATGGGACCTGAAGTTTTGAGGATTATGGGTCCTTTTTGATCACGTAGGCCTCATGCTAAGGAACATTGAGATATTTGATTACTCTTAGTATCAGGTATTTCAAACTCGACCAAATAATCACGAAGAGGATGTAATGTAATGATAAGAAAAAAATAAGAATTATCTAACATACACTTTTACAATTGCAAAATTCTGGAAAGCCTTACCTATAATGATTTATAAATTTTTCATTTAATAAATTGTTTATAAATTTCTGTAAAATAAACCAATTATTTTAAAATAATATATATAAGTGTCTTAAAATAAATAAACATTGTAATTGCATAATTATATTATGATAGGGTAAAAATACGTTATTATCGCAAAGAATGAAATCTGCTTTTATATAATAATAAAAAAAAACACATAATCAAACACGGATTTCACTTTAACCTGATATATGTAGTAGCATAGCTTTATTTCTGTTTTATTTATTTATATGAAAAATTGCTATCATATAAAGGATTTTCTTGTACTTTAATATTGCTTTTGAGTAAAAATAAAAACAAGATAGAATAGAGCCCAGAAGTCAAAAAGTACTATTTTCTAATATATAAGCGAATATAATGTTATATATAATATTTTAATATATTAAATTATTAGCCAATATCTTTTTTTAAATAAATACAAAATATTATTAATTGCTTGTAAGCTGATACTTTATTAATTAATTATTTTTTTTATTAAAAGTTTATTTTCTTTTTCTCTTTTTTTAATATATAAATTTTAATTTTTTTTATATATAAATTTAAGTTTTTTACTTTTTTCTAAAAAATAAATAAATTGTTTTTTTAATATACAGTCAAACCTCGTTATAGCCACGATATAGTCACTGATTTTTTTTTACCAATTAAACTTATATTGTTTTAACCTGTATATAGTCACAAATACGCTATAGTCACTATCACATAATTTAAAAACCAATCCCTATTAAAATTCCCTTATTATAGTCACAATAATAAATTTAAATAAATTAAAATTTCTAAATTACGTTAAATAAGCTAAAAATTATTTGATACAACTTAATAAATAATAATTCTAGTTTAAAAATTCTAGATCATATAGATATCTTCGATCAATTCATAGATCTCAATTCACCTATACCCGTCATCCAGTATGTATACACGTACGCAGGGTTGTGAGCTTACATAGTCTAATGGGAAAAAGTCATTAGACAAATATATGTCTATTGATAGTTTTTTATATG